ATACATTTTTCTTAATGAAAAATTGTAAAGGAGTATAGCTTACATCTTTTATATATAAAATATACTTAACTATATACGACTCCTGATAATTGGACAAAGCTGTATAAGATCTGAAAAGGCATTCTAGGAAAGAACAGTATGTTCTTTTGCAGAATAATAGCTCAAGTGTAAGAATATCATCCAAGAATATCATCAGAATTCCCCTTAAGGCAGAGCGGAATAAATGGGCCACCGGCACACAAAGTGGCCACAGCAGATACAGTGTAAAAATAAATGCATGAAGCCAGAGCCACTGAGTAGCAGCAACTGTAGACTGTATTCTGGCAGGCTGATGCAAGCCAGAAATATGGGCAGTGCTCCAAATATAATGTCCTGCACAGCGTACCACTTAGACTCCATCACTTTGTAAGGATGCATTTATTTACCATAATGCTTCATTAGCATGTCGAATTTGCAATGCACAACATACAGAAATCTATATCAATGCATTCATCAATCGATAAATCAAAAAATTAAAGATTTCTTTGTATAGCCCATACTCAAAAATCACAATTTGTCTCATGGGGCTTTAACCCTTAACAAGTGACAAATGAGGAATAGCTTCCAAACTTTACAACTGAGAGTCATTTCTTTCCCACAGATAATGGCAGAGGGAAGTTGGGTCAACCAAAACTCTTCATTAAAACTTTTGTAGTTTCAGTTGGTTTTTGCAGAAGGGAAATGGTGAACTGAGAGAGACTTTCTAGTCAAAAGAACTGAAACCATTTGGAAAATAAAACATTATCTTGAGGAGATAATGGGAGATTAGTAGATTAGGTAAGACTCTTGAATGAAAATACTTTTATTATATATATATTTTTCCTCATCTTCTGTCTGATGTGGATCCTGGGCACATCCTGTGAGCAATGTTTAATTGTTAAGTTATCAGACATAATCTGTCTTGAATAGACAGACATGCCAGGCATGATCTCAGGAATACAACAATTTACCCCCAAAGTCATTTCTGCAAGAATACAAAAAGAGAAATGAAAAACAAGGACCACATATAAGAGATTGGAACCTGTGAACAAAACCCGACCCAAACCCCGGATACTTCCCCAAACAAAGCATGAAAATAAGACTGTACGTCTGAACTGTGCACTAGACCAGCACTCCAGATAATATATACATCGACAAAACTAACATTTGAAGGGCTTTAATATAATGTTAAACTGGAAATGTAGGAATGGAAATAAATAGGGAGGGCCACACCTAAGGGAATCAGATTATGACAACTTGGAGAACAGTTTAATTTGGCAAGCCAGTCATAATCAACAGATAGGAATCACAGCAGACAAAACGGGGATGCAGCAGCCTCTGAAGTCCTACACGTAATGTTTATCCAAAGGGGTAATTCAAAGTTTGTGATGAGAACTGGGTGAACAGATTAATTTGGCAAGCTGGCCAAGTTCAAATACATGACTCAACAAAAAACACAGAGGGCTTTGGTGTAGTCCTAAGAATTCCACCTGACTGACCAGGTACATGGACCTTCAGAATTGGGGAGACCCACATAGAGTTAATCATTAAACGCAATTCCTGACTCCAGTAGCTAAGCTGTATCAACCCTTTCCTTGCCTCTAGTGGGTTGAATGGGTGCCTCTTGTCGTTTAACGTGATCTGCAGCTGAGCATGAAACAGAAAGCCATATGTAACATCAGCATTTTTCCAAAGATTCTCAGGTTTTGACAAATGCTCCTCAAATCCTCAGCTTCAGCCACGAGCACGAAGTCGCTCCCGTTGGACTTTGAGCTCAACAGCTGACAAGTGGCTATGGAAGAGTGAGTCTTATTCAGAAAAGACTCAATAATCTTGACCACAGACAAGAGGGAGGTTTCCCACATCCATATCAGCCTGTAGCTTCCCCTATCATTTAATAACTATGCCGCAATGCCCAGCACTCTGCTGCTAGGATGCCATGATGACCGTCATTTTAGACAATATTTGTCTTCTGGAAGTCCATCTTAAAAAATGATCTTATATTTCAAGACTAGACAATTACACCTAAATTAAAAACAGATTTTTGAATGTAATGAATACCTGTGTAAATACGATCTTAAAACTAAATGTTCTTTTTTCAAATGCCTCTATAGTGAATTTATCAGCCTTCAAAGTGTAATATAAGTACAATTTAACCTGCAGGAGCTTCAGAGGGCTGATGCAACATGTTCTGCTGTCGAAGAAGAGATACATTTCATGATGAGTTCTTAGCGTCTTCTGACATTTGCAACTGCAGAAATAAACCAGGGAGAATATGTCAAATAGAATTACAGCCGTCACAGATGAGCTCAAAGAGAAGTCCGGAAAATGTTAAATGTCAGGGAAAATAATTATGTGAGAGGAATGAGCGAGGAATTGACTCGCTACAGTAACTCGGCTGACTAGTGAGCACTGGGGAAGTGAGCCATCTACAGACACGTGGCTGAACCATCATATTGGTAAGCACTCTGGATTTTGGATGGTATTGACCACTGCCTGCCTCCAACCCCTCCATCACAAACCTTGTCCACTTGACTTGTTTAGTTAAAGGATGCACACTTCATCTCTGCCTCTATGTCTGCATTTGAATCCTTCCCCGTCTGTATTGCACTGGTTCGTTACACATACAGTTTAAAAAAAAAAGTGTACTTACATGCCAAATCCATGAAGGCAGACAAGCATACACACACAGTCATCTCTTGACACATGCACTTGTGCCTGTGCACACGCACACGCACACACTCAGACTAAGAACACAGCTGCCCTGTAAGAGACCCAGAGTAGGACAATGCCAGCTGGCTTTGTTTCAACTTTTCACCCCCTGGGATTGGTTCTCCCACAGGCCAAATATGGAGAGACGCGTACCTCTGTCTACCCCAATGGGACTACACACACACACACACACACACACACACACACACACACACATTAAAGTGCACAAAAGCATAAGCCTTATGTGGTCACAAGGTTGCAAGTACTTGAATCCAAGAAATATCGACTAGCACATCTATGATCACTATGGAGACCACAGTTGTGTGTATGCATGTGTTGTGTGTAAGCAAGTATCAGGCAGTGTGGGTTGGGATTTGAGGAATATCCCTCTCTGGTCCTTTCACCATGACAACAGAGAAAGTTCAAAGGTCAGAGCAACCGTGGCTAATCCAGTGGCTCATCGGCAGGACAGACTGGAGCGAGACTGAGCGAGGGAGTGGATGGAAGTGGGTGAGAGAGGCTCTTTATTGTGTGTGTGTGAGTGAGAGAGAGAGAGGGAGGGGAAGAGAGAGGGAGAGAGAGAGATGATCTGCTTGGATGAAAGAAATGTGGGGGAGAGATCAGACATGCTAAATCCAGTCATTTGTTGAAATTTTCTGAAACTTTTTACCCAACACATTTCAGAATATGACTGAACTACTGCAATGATCACAATCATGACACTGACCAGTGCACTCACGTGAAACAATAAAATGAAGAGCTGGAACTGTCAGCTTGGGAGCTTCTATCAACCACCAATGACAAACTAGCCTTGTTCTAACATTTATATATTCTCTCAATATAAATTTTCAGACTAAAATTGACTTGTGGAAGTGGGTGATTGTTTAGCTCCATAATGATTATGAGCAGCTGCCAATGCTACAGCTTGCAAGATTATATCAACCAGCCTGGTTAATGAAAACCTCACAAATATCATGTATGTACCATTCATTTTGTCTTCTCATCAACAGTCAACAGTATTTCTTTCGAGGAGGGCTGCGCATTAACAATGCAGAGCACTTACTACAGGCTAACCTCCTGTACAGGCTTTACAAAAGGAGGGATTTGTTAAGCTTCACCACCAGCCCGCCTGATTCAGCATAATGAGTTATTGATTAGATATTAAACAAGTCAGAATACATTACAGCAGTAATGAAGAATCACAGATATTCGTCTATATATTGATGGTTGAATCCTTTCAAAGAAAAGATGTTAATCTCTTCGATTTAGTCATTAATAAGTTTAGTTGTATTCATATATTTAAAATGGGGTTAAGTATTTTGGTATTTCCATGACTATTTAAATTTGTAAAATCAGCTCAAAACTCCATAAAAGTTAATATCCAAAAAAAAGGGTTAGAACACTTTTCAAGTTGTATCTTAATGGTGTGCATGCTAGTGTGTGTATGTGTGTGTTAGCCTGAGTTCATGCTTGCATTCATGTATGTGTGTGTTTGAATATACATCATGTGATGTCCAGACTGAAAATCATTAAATTTAATTCCTGAGTGTATGAGTGTGTGTTGTATTTTGGGTGATATGACTAAAGATGTTATGAAGATAAAAATGTTCATATTGGTTGATGTGGATATTTATCACAGTAAATGTGAAATTGCTATTTGACCTATTTGCTCCTGAAGGTTGTGGTTTTAAACTCTCCTTTACAGAGAATCACAATATAAATTGAACTTGTTATAATGCTTTGTTTATGCTAATAAATAACACTTTATTACTGCCTTCCCTGCCTTCCACCAAACTGTGGAAAGTCTTTGCATTTCTATGCAATGACTTTGCTTGTGAAGACTTAAAGTTCTTGCCTGATGACTCACATGAAACTAGGTAATCTTATGTACTGTTTGTGGTGTGTTTATGGTTACGATAAGGAGATCTGACTGAATTAATATTTGTGTAATTCAATTTAGTGGCGTTAAGAAAAACATTTAAATTTGTTTGCATATGTTTGTAAATCTGAATGTACGTTACATGACTGCACATGTGAGTCTGACTTAACTCTCAAGTTCTTGTGTAACAGTGTAATGTAATTTAGTGAATTCAAGCCCAGCGTTTTCAGTGTGCATGAGAGTACAGTTATATGCTAGGCTGCATACATGAGAGCATGCATCCTGGTCACTGGTAATTTAATACCATAAATTGAGTGAGACACTTAACAGAACAGAATGTTATAAATTCTAATTCAATTTAGCAGCCTCTAATGCTTTCACTGTCTCTCACCATGTGCACCAGTATCCTCTCTCCTGTGGGATGGATGGCCAGGGCTTCGTCATACAGGCCTTTGGCTTCGTCCAGTTGGCCCCGGAGCTCCGCAAGTCGGCCCCGCTGCAGCAGCACAGAGTGTGAGTTGGGGAATATTGAGCTCGCTTCAGCTATGCAGAACTGGGCCTCCTTTAACCGACCATCTGCCATGAACAGCTCCCCTGCAGGAGGAGAATGAAGTGAAGAGAGGAAGGGATACAGGGAAGAAAAAAGATGGAGGATGATGGCGGGAGGAGAAGGAGAAAAGACAGAGAGGGTTGGACGAGGGCAGAGAAGACAGAAAGCAAGGAGGGTACATGAGTTTAGGAAAGGAAGCAAGGGTAAGAAAAGGATGGATATAGAAAACAGGGAAAAATAAGGGACAGAGTTATTATTATTATTCCCCCCAATGATGAGTGAAAAAGACTTAACAGTGAGTTCAACGCCATCAAGTTAAAATGTAAACTGTGCAGCGCTCAAAGACAAACACAAAACACTACAGTTGGATGGACACACACACACACACACACACACACTCATTGAAAGAGAGAGTGGGAGCAATGTAGTGCCTGGGAAGTCATGAGAGACTTGCCTAAATATGGCCATCGCATACTAAAGCTGCCTCCTTTCTTTGCTGCTGCTGGGAAGATGAGGACAAACCCCAGACTCACACACACACACACACACACACACACACACACACACACACCAGAGGATCCGCCCCTGAGGATGGAGAAGACCACTGTGTGGACAGGATGCTGTAGGGGGGAGCTGTCAATCATTCTCACCAGTGGACACTGGGTTGACACCCAGATAAACCCTGAGAAAGAAAACCCTCGGCTCTGAGCACAGACATGTGAGTGTGTGTGTGTGTGTGTGTGTGTGTTACAGAGAGATAGAGAAAGCTGTGCTCTGCAAATACATTGTCTGCTCCTGAGCGTTGCATGAACCCATGTGTGTGTTTGGTAGGGGATGTTTTGTTTGTTTACCTGTGTCTCACATGCACAGATGGGAAATACTTAGTGGATGCATGCTACCCCTGCGAGATGAAAGAGAACCATTTCCCAGACTCAGGGTTTCTTTTCATAGCTTCATTTCGCAGAAAAGGATTCAGTGAATGGTTACGTAAGGCCTTTTCCTGCTCATCACCTGAGCTCTCCGAAAAAAAAACAGCTATTAGATCAGTGCGTGTACATATACAGTTCATTTAAATGTTGGCAGGTATGTGTGTGTGCGAGAGTTTGAGTGTTTATGTGCAGCTCAGTGTGTCGCTTTTAAAGAACCCGCAGTGTGTGTGTGTGTGTGTGTGTGTTTTTGGTCAATCAGGATGTGAGATTGAGAGAGGAAGTGACCGATGTGAAGAGGAATGCTGGGAAGGAGAGGGGGTCACTGGGGGTAGGACTGGCTCTGCCTTCAGTGAGAGACACATACACACACACACACACACTCACACACAGCTTTGTGAGCATGTTCTATTTTGTCTGTTCTCAGCAGAGGAATAGTAGGGTTCAAAGGTTAGACATTAACCTTCAAATTACACCCGGCCACAGGGGACGTGACCCCCTGGCCCCTCCGCGCATCCCATCCTCTATTGTAACACGCTGGTATTCTGGTTGCATCACTGCGCTCACTCGGCTGCGGTATGGATTCCCATTCCCATGCCTCGTCCACTCCAGCTGAGTGGATAGATGGAGTGTTTGTGCGGAGCTTCTCTGTACTCCTCTCCCTTCATTTCCTGCGAATGCTCTGCACTCCCATGAACTTCCACATGCAGACTGAAGGCTGAAGGGGTGGAAGTAATAGCCGTATGCATCACTGCCATTCTGCCCTTAATAGAGCAGTGGCTTCATTTATGCAGGTACAGAACACACTCCTACATAAGGTATGCAGTATTCAATGGGACTGAAATGGCTCTGACCACTAAATTGTTAACATATTTCTTATTTACCCTTGTTTGTGAAGGCAGAGGTAATGGCTGCAGCAGTCACACTAAATTACGTAGTTTTAAACAAGGGTACAAATATATAATCTCTGGCAGGAGTTGTTATACACCTCCCTTGTGGTTCACACAGGGTTTTTTCAACTTTCATTATAAAGAGGTGACCCCCAAGTGAATTTCTGTGACTGCAGTGCTCAAAAAAACATGGAGGAAAAATGTGTATTCACATTGTACCAAGTACATAAACAATGTCTCGCTCCCCAGAGAGATTGAAATTCAACTAAGCTTGTAAGCAGGTCAGTAAGCTGTGCGCGACAGTCAGGCTGCACAGCTTTTATAGTAGCATCTGTACAACAGTCTGTGTGGAGAGCATTTTCATTCAAATTTACCATCAATGATTCTGACTTTTATTTTTGTCTGATCTGGAATTTTCTGATGAGGTCATCCCTAAAAAGTTTTCCATCCCTACTGGGACCGTACATCTTTGGGATACTTTTGACATATATGGTAATGTGGTGGTTGTGGTTAACTATAAGTGTGTGTGGTCCAACGCTTGATCCTTGAGGTGCACCACATCTCCTCACCTTAAAGTCAAACCGTTCCTGTTGAACAAACAGGAAGAGTGACATGACCACTGGACAGATGAGCCAAGTATTATCAGTAGAGTCAACAGTTTTATCAAGGTGCATGTAAGACCTGTTTGAATACTTTACTCTGAACACAGATCGAAACAGTGGATACATCCATCTTTTAGGTATTACTTTTAACTACTATTTGTAATTTTTATTAGGTTTTCTAGTTAATGTGATTATTCATTGTGTTATTGTCTTCTTGGCTGTTTGTGTTATATCTTTATGTATCTTCTCTATTTTACAGAACTTTGGTTAATGTCTGTTATTTTAAAACATACTAATCAATTGACTTGACATGACAGTCTGTTAGATGGGCCACTTATCCACCACTTTGATAGTAGACAGAACAACTTAACACCTATTGGAATGGACTGTCATGACATTTTGAGACATTCATGGTCCTCAGAAGATAATCCAATCAGAGCCAGAGCTAATAAAAACCTGTGTCTACTGCAGAGCCATTTGATCCAGGAGTGAACGCTGATTGTCTGAAATCAATGTTCTGTCCATTTTGCACTTCAAATGAGATTATTATTCATAAAGCTTAATAACACTGCGACACACAAAACTATGGAGCCTGATTACTGTCGATTGCATAGCCATAGCAGTACAATCAGCCAACGTTTTTTCCAGCTCAGAGTCAATAAACTCATGGTCAGTTTCCTTTTTCCCTCAGTGCAACAGAAAATTAACTCCCATGTAACATACACTGTGATTATATGGCTACTTGCTGAACCTGAACAGAAATTCCCTCTTGACAAAAGGAATTTCAAATTCCAATTTTGCAAGAGATCAAAACCTTGAGGTTTAAAAACTGTGTTATAGCCGCATGATTCACTGTCTTACCAGCCTGCAGCCAGATGCGTTCCAGGGTGGTCCAGATGTAGGTGGGTCCTTGGCGACGGGAGGAGCTGATATCGGACACCTCAGAGAGCGCCGCATCCAGGCGAGACACTGCAACTGACGAAGGGCTCAATGAACCTGTTAAGGGAAATGGAAGAATGACAAGCTGTTTGTTATGGATATTGAATGGAAAAACACAGGAAAACAATATTTTGTCCTAAATAAATTGTACAAATATTCAAACCCAGGTCAAGATTGACAAGATTGATCATGAAGCAGAGATCAATTGTTCATTCGTCAGCAGAAAATAACAATGACTGAAAAGAGCCAAGCTCAGGAACACGTTCGTTCTGCTCATTCTCAGAACATCAATACATTTCCTGTGACTGAATGAAAAGTGCACAGGCCCCAGATCCTGCTCGTGGCACAGATGTGGAGGTGAGTCAGATCATTATTATTTAAACAGCACATCTGTTGCCCAAAACTGGGTTGTGGACAGGCAAACACACTTTTAATCCATAATAAGGTCAAATTCTGGGGAAATTAAACCGACCTGCATGTTCACCTTTCTCACGGGTATTTACCCAACACCAGAGAGGAAGATTGATGTGTTTAACTTAAAAATAATCAATGACAATCCAAATATGTGCAGTGGAAGTGCCCTCATTAAAAAGACTTTAACCAGCAACAGAGCAGACCAGTGGAGGCGTCCTGGAAGTCAGGCAGGGTCAGGTGGATGGAGGGTTTCCTGCCTCCGGGGCTGACCTCTGTCCTCTCAGCCATCGGTATACTGCTGCTGTCATCTGTCTCACTGCAACACACATGCACACACCGATGAAGACATGCACTGTACTAGCATTATACATGAGCAAACACATCCAGTAGTGATATACACAACTTATACATGAGCTTCTTATGTTCTTTTTAAAAATTACTTTGTGTATATTTTTGTAATCGCCTTGTATTTTGAAATTTGTTCTCCCAGTATCTTTAAAGTTTTCCTCCATAAGGTTCCATCTGTGAAGCCGGTCAGCACTGAGAGTGATACAGTACGTGTGCTGTTTCACTGATTTATAACTGTTTTATGACAGATTTTTGGAACTCAACATTAAATTCAATCCCAATTAAATGTTTTAGTATATTTTCCTGTTAATAATTATTCATGTTAATTCCAACCAAAACTATCTGTGGCCTGAGAGTCACTGCAGTCCGTGCTGGCTAAAAGTGGATGCTCAGTAGTGTTGGACAATGTGTCCTAGACCTCCTCCACAAATCACAGTTTTTGGGAAGAACCAGGCAGAAAGAAAACTTAGAAAGTAATGACATTACATTTTGAACTTGAAGAAAAAATTAAATTAATAATTTTCTCAGAGAAAACACAAGTAAGCCAGCAGATTGAGGATTATTTTATTTGTTTTTCTAGATGAAAAGCAGATTTTTATTATTAGCTTCATCTTTGTCCATCAAAATCTGATCAGTTCCTTGACTCCCTCCAGATTAAGATGCAGACAAACATACAAATTATTCCTCGGCCATCTCTATGTACAGGGACATAGAAACACGTTGAATATGGAGAACAACTATCAGCAGGTTTTTCAAGGATGAAACTTGTTGCACTGTTTCAAATGTTTGCTTTTTCATTACTTTCTGTCATTTTATCAGATTAATCCACAATAATTAAATTGAATCTAAAACAAAAAAAAGCTTGTAATCATACATCTTTAAAATCTGAAAAGTATGAAGCCTAATATCTCAAAACCACTCTCTCAGATCACAGATAAAATCTTAACATATCATGATATAACTGATCAATGATATCTGATATCAGGCTACATCAGAACAATTTGTGTTTGCAAATGGATCTGGATCCTTTTAGGTTATTCTCAATTTCCAAGAGGTGTGCTCAGCTGCTGCAGACCAAAATGTCTCTATATCTGGATAAACTAAATAAACGTGGATGACGTAAATGATTAAAACATCCAGGCAGTTTGTTCAATAGCCACAATAGCAGATTCAACGGACCTACATATCAGCAGCAGCCTTCTTGATTGTCATTTATCAAAACAAACCTGACCTATTTTCAATAAGTGGTCGTGTTTGGCCCGAACTGTTTCAGGATAAATGGAAATCTGTCTGAAGGGGGGCAACACCCACAAGACCGAATAAATGGATGTTTACTGACTGGTCTTATCAATATGTCAGGAATGCAGAGCGCATGAATACACACACACAAACACACACAGACACACACACACTAATCAATTTAATCAATACTGCCGTAGCAAAGCTCCCCCTCCTTTCTTAACATAGCAGTAAAAATACTTGAGCAGTGAAGTATCACCTATTCTACAGTACAAGATTAGCAAACTATCGCACACACACACATACAATCCACACCTGTTGCATATGCACACTCACCTGGAGCGACTGACATCATATCGGCTTTGCCAGCGTTGCAACATCTCTTCACAGGACTGTAGGGCAGTAGCTGGGCCGAACACAGCCTCTTCAAGCTTCACCTTTGTGAACAGGAGACTGGAACACAAAAGACACAAACACGCACATTTCTTATCCTTGTTCAATGTTGTGGTACTTTTTTGTGTTTTATTGCCATATGATGAACCTAAGTGATGAACTCATGTACCCTTATTATCGTAAAGTAGCTGCTGTTTGGATACCTGCAGGAAATTCCGGTCTAACCTGTTCTTATTGTCACTGATGCATATGCATGCACAACATTTGAACAACTCTAAGTCTGCATGAGACCATGTCTTTGAATACTTGACAGTGTTCACAAAAAAATGGATCCCTGCAAATTAGCTGGTAATATCCCCAGTTGCTTATTTGGCTATAAAAATAAAGAAGCATATAAATATGAATTAATGTGCTTGTGTAAGTGTTTGAGCCTCGACAGTAGCTGGGTAAGTGCTTAAGACCCATCAACATCTCACTGAGGTATGTGGATTGAAGTACCCATGGATCAATAGAAAGAGAGAGGTAAAGATTGTCATCAACAACAAGCTCTAAGAGTGCATACGTGTGTGTGTGTGGCGGAGTGTTAAGAGGTTGAAGAGTAGAGGCCATAGAGTGTCTCTGCTCAGCCCTTTTTAGTTGAAGACAACTGGTTAAGTGGTGTGGGAGTCTCTGGTGTGTGAGCATCTGTGTGTGTGTGTGTGTGTGTGTGTGTGTGTGTGTGTGTGTGTGTGTGTGTGTGTGTGTGTGTGTTTAGTAATTGCCAGAAGGGGCTCTGAGAGGATGCAGTCTGTCATGGGCATCACTCATCCATGAGTGTGAGGACAGAGAGAAAGAGAGCGAGAGGCACAGAGACTATGGTGTTCGCCATATCTGACGCCTGCCTGCCTAGCTGTCCACTGCCTCCCTGTTGAAGGCTCCTCCAATTATTCTGTACCCTCATGTCGGGGGGGGGGAAGGAGAAAGGGAAGGACGAAGGGATGCAGGGAGGGTGAGGATCAATAGCAGAGAGAGACGAACCTGTGTCAGGGGAGAAAACTCTCAGTGAAATGCGCCTCATTACCAACTCACGGCTTGGTGGAGTGGGGTGTGTGTGTGTGTGTGTGTGGAGGGGTGAGGAGAAGATGGAGGGAGGAAGTGTATATGTGTGGGAGGAAGGGCGTTGGATTTTCTGACGTGTGGATGACAAGTGCTGCAGAGGGACTTTGTGTAAGGATACGCCTGCCAGTAGGGGTCCACCAGAGTGTGTGTGCGGTGTTGTGTGTTTCTAGGCTCCCCATTACCAGTGTGGCAAAGCGTTTAGGAGCATTTTGATGCTGAAAACCCATCCTAGTGTTGAAATGTGACATGCTGTGTGTGTGTGTGTTGGGGCGGTGGGTACATGCATAATGATTTCCCCTTGTCTTACATGATGAAACACCAAAACTGAGTTTACTCTTAATTGTCATAATATTCCAAATATTCATGTAATTAGTTAATGTATCTACTTTTGTTTTGTTTTTTTAAACACAAATACTGCTCCCATTGACTGTCATAAATCAAAGTCAGCTCTCCCTGCAGTAGTAATTTAAAACAATGTTTTTTGCCAAGAAATAAATGTGAAAATGGAGGGATTATGACACTTGAGCCACTGGAAGACTTGTTATGTGAAACATCTGTGAAGGCTGCGATGAAGGATGCATGCAGAATATTTGACATTGCAATACCAGCGCAATTATGATCAAATCTTTCCATAAAATGTTGAAAAAGAACAGGGAAGCCTGTCTCTACTGTAAGCCTGTTTTCAATTAAGGCCATGTTCTTCCTGCTGGTGAAGCCCATGTTTGACACTGTATACTTAATTCTTGCATAGTTTTATGCCATCACAAACGTTTATAACATAAATGAATATAGCTGGTAATAACTGAGTTTGTATTAATGTTCATTTCTTTAACATAGATGCTATTGTCATTTACAAATATATGAGCCATTTACTCTTAAGTTAAACACTCTTGCAGATGTGTCATAGCCCATCGGGGTAAGAGGTGTTATGTAAGAAAATGAGTTGAATTGACAGCAGTTTCATACAGATCAAAAACAATGACAAACTAGTACAGACTGCAATGGATAACTTAAAATTGCAAGTAAAATCAGCTAATATAGGAGTAGATTATAAAATATACAGTCATCTTGCTCAAATATACTTTGTTTGAATATATGAATTAAATTAATATTTGAATGTTAGTAATTATAGTTAATGATACATGGCGTATTGCTCTGTAAAGGAGGGCAATACTACTACTTCTTTGACATTTATTCACATAGTAGTTTGTCATGAGTACATGGCGCCTGGTACATGATGGTAATTAATATCAAAATGATCTAAGGCATCTGAGGATAGTCTTTTCCACCTTGCAGCACCCGATCACACACTTGTGTTTCCTTTGCGGCTCCAGAAAAAAATAGATTTCATCAAGATTACAGCACTCACAACTGCACATCAAATTACAAAGGCTGTCATTTCCACCCTCCTGGGAATGAGGCTGGCTTGTGCAGAGCCAGCATAGTGGTTGTGGATGGACGGCAGCAAGTAGTGTAGCTCAGTGGCGCCCAGCTAGAGTAGTGAGTGCCTGCGTAATTTAAAAATAGCTAATAATGTTCCCTTGAAAAAAGTGGTACATCTACAGTATTACTCATGCTTTACTCCCACAGATCAGAGTGTGTGTTCAGTATACACACACACAGACACACATAACATACATGTACTACATATAGTGGGGTCAAAAAAGTCTGAAAGCACTTTCCTTTTCACTTGAATGGGAATGAATAGAGGTTAAACACACTCAAGCCTGTGCAGACATGCTTGCTTTGTGTAGTAGAGCGTGAGCCATGCATGTGCATGCTTATACACACACTTGCACAGATGCACACACATACACACTTGCTCATGCTGCAACGTCCTGTTAGATGAATGCAGAATCAAAGGCTCGGATTAATCATTCTCTTTAGTACAAACTGTAAGACCACGATCTCTCTCTCTCTCTCTCTCTCTCTCTCTTACACACACACATGCAACCATCCCCCTTCTCTCCTCAGCTCTCTCATTCTGTAGCAGAATCACATTTCACATTGAAATGCATGCCTGTTTGGGTGATTAAAATTACAAAGAAAAGGAAAAAACACAGACAGAGAGATAAAAAAGATGAGAGCCAAAGAGAGAACGAGATGGAAAAGGAGAGTGTGTGAGGGGGAGAGAAGCCGGGGGTAGAGGATGTGGGAGAAAAGGAGGAAGGAGAAATTCGGTATGCTACAGCGAGCTGACAGTTTGCTGAGGTGCAGAGAGGCAGTGGCTAACAAGAATCACACACATGCATGCGTACACACACACACACACACACACACACACACACACACACACACACACACACACACACACACACACACAGTGACACACAAACATGCATGTGCAAGATTACGATCTTGTACACATGTACACAACCCCCCCGGCATTACAACACACAAGTACACACACACATTCACACACAACTGTCTTCGAATGCCGAGCACCTCGCACAGTACAAGCTTTGATCCCTGATGCTCACTCACACATCCAAAGCAAATGATATTCAATGAGCTCGTTACTGAGAAAACACCTCCTTTCATTATCCTCCCTCTCTCCCTCTCTTGCACTCTCTGTCTCACTGTTTAATTTTCTGACTCTGAGATCTGCAACTTGGCCTCAGCCCCAGCGGGTCCCAGGGGTATTGACTTATTCTGGCTGGGTCTGGATTCATTTTCATGTGCATATTGCAGGTCTGGGTTGGGTTAAGGCAAAAATACTCATATTAATGCATACTGATAATCCTAAACCCTGTCTGCATGTAAGCAAACAGGCACAGTTGTCAATTGGAGCCAATCATGCAGCCGTTTTATTTTATGCCTCTGTATGAGTTCTGGGTTTGACATTAAACGCATAATGTGTAACTGTGGCCGCGAGGGGTCCCTCAATCAAAACAACAACAAAAGACGTAGTTTGGTGACATCTTGAAGCAGCGTGGGATCATAGGAGATGCAGAATTCCCCACCTTGGCAGATACCTGAAGTGACTCTGACGCAAATCATATTCAAGAGCCAAGTATTGTATTACAGTTTTAATTCACGATTCGTAGCAAACGACAAAGAAAAACCGTTACGAGTGACCAATACAAACTGTGGAGGGAAAAACAGCCTACTGGCTAACTGATGTTTTCACTAGTTCGTTTCATCTAAATTGTATGAATTGTAGTTTTCTTTACCCCAGAAAAGGTCCTTTATATTTAAATACTTTATATTTACATCGAGGGGACCCTCTCTCTGGAGGCCGCCATGTTTTTTACATTAGTGCAGACTGGACAAACTAAACACCTTTTGAGTTTTTATGACAACTGAAGTTCATCACAGGTTCTTTTTCGCTTTTGGAAGGAGAGGGTGAGGTGATATCACAAAATTCTAAACACTGTACCTTTAAATAATATTGAAAACATGTTGGATAATGTAAGTACACAAGTCTACAACATGCATAACATAGGTTGAGTGGTTTTTACACATTTTAATGAAGCTACATAATATATCTTTGAGCAATCTATTTTAAACTTACCTGTCAACACAAAATTGGATCGACCAATGAGCATGTGAGCTTGTTTAAGAGATTTGGGAGATGTGCTCCTCTGCAAGCCTTTAAAACATATTTATTTGTGACTTCCTAGAATTCACTCTTCACTTCACTTCACTCTCAAAACAAACAACACCACATTTGCAAACTATCTGTTATAATAATCCTTTCCCAACATGTCAAGGTGATATAGGTTTGGTTTACTAAAGCTGTATTAGCTGCTAATGGGTAATTGGTTGGCAAATTGGCTTTGTAATAATGTCCAATGACTCCTGAGGGAAATGGCTGGATCTATTTGCCAACTTTTACGAACTTTAGCAGGAAGAAGCTACAACGCTCTCTGGGAGTGAGAGGAACTGCGGAGGCACTTTTAGAGACGTTCACATTTCACACAGTCAATTAATTCATCATTAATGTGAAAATATTGATTAGTGCAGCTTTAAGTCCTCGCAGCCTTACTGTTAGGGCTGACTTTAAAGTGTACTATATAGCAACAAAAAGTGAATAGGAAGAGATGTCGTAAACCGCACTGTTCATGCTAACTCGACTATAATGGACAGATTTATATAGCAGCAGACAGGACCATTTGTGACAATGCTACTTTCTAGTCACTCAATTCCTTAAGGTTCAGTTTGGACTTAAAGGTACAGTGTGTAGAATTTTGTGATATCTAGTGGTGAAGTTGCATGTTGCAGCTGAACACCCCTCACCTCACCCTCCCCTTCCAAACATGAAATAGAAACTGTGGTAGCCTTTAATTGTCATAAAAACTCAAAAGGTGTTTAGTTTGTCCAGTCTGGACTAATGTAAAAAACATGGTGGCCTCCAGAGAGAGGGTCCCCTCCATGTTAATATAAAGTATTTAAATATAAAGGACCTTTTCTGGGGTAAAGAAAACTACAATTCATACAATTTAGATGAAATGAACTCGTGAAAACATTATGAGGATTTTTCTACATTAAATATCTGCCAATAGTTCCCTTTCACCTAAATCTTACACACTGGACCTTTAAGTTCAGCCCAGGCTGATCTATATCTCTCTATTGATAAATCAATAAATCTGAGAGGTAATGATACAGTCAACAGACTTTCAGTAACAAGTCATTAATGCAGGCGTTCCATTCAGCAAATTATACATGCATAGATTTATATCTCTCTCTCTTTCTCTCCCTTAGTCAATGTTTCTCTACCACTCCATAACAACAGTTTGGGAACAACAACTGATGCTGCCTGCTCTACCCATATGACCTCATGGTTACTGGGGCGATGGGGATTCCTGGCGCAGAGAGCGTTTTGATTGGCTGAGCGCAGAAACGAGCTCTTAAATGGGTCAAAGCAGTCAAGTGTCTCTACGGAGGAGGTGTATATGTGTGTGTGCATGTGTGTGTGTGTGTGTCTAAGTGTGCAGTTGGGCATGGAGACAGAGAGAGAACAGATTTCATTTTCCAATTGTACATACAGCACTGATCAGTAAAGCCTGTGCAATTATGAAACGGTCATCTCTCCTTCATCCTCCCACACTGTCTCAGTGTTTTCTTCTTCTTCCTGTCAGGCTCTTAAATCCTTCCTTCCCTTCATTATGTCATCAATTTTCATGTTTTTCTGCATTTCCTCTCTCTCTTCCTCTTGATTCTGATGTATGGATGTACCCCATCTGTGTGTGCAGGGACCGTGGAAGCCAACACTGACCCCAAATGGTTGAATTGTGAAATGCTGGGCTTTGAAATGAAAGAGAAGACGCATCAAAAAGATGATGCAACATGCTTCCATGTTATGGTTAGTGTGCAATAAGTGGTCTGGACAGTTAATGGTGTTTATCTCTTACACTATAGCACCTCCCCTGCAGCTAAGCAATCTGCTAGTGTTCAGTATGGCTGTCTGAAAACTGTGAGATTATGAGAGCATCTTAAAACACATTTTGGGGCCTGTGCTATACTATACCTGTGCCGGCTTTACTCACGAACTAAATTTCAAGATGAGAAATTATTTCAAATATTCTTTGTTATGAAATTAATGAAAAAGCTACAAAATATTATTATTTTCACATAAGTTTAAAAGCAATTGGAATTTAAGCCCAAAATCAGATATTAAGTCCTTGAAGTTATATGATGTTATGTTAAATGATTAAAGATATCCTGACACAACACAAAGGTTGAATTCCTTCAACGTGTCATACAGTAAAATACTATGCTGTGTTTTAACCTGCTTGGTGTAGCAGACTGGTGGGTTTATATGTTGACGACTCGGATCTGTCAGGAGAGCAGCACTAGGGCTGGGGTCAGAGCTGCAGTGTTAAAAGGGTAAGAGGGTATGAGGGGCATAGGTACTGCAATGCAGGCCTCCACTCAGGCACATCTAAATAAGGTGTCGAGTCTGTGTGTGCTCGGCCTCCAACTAAGTAGAACCGAGACACCCTATCCCTACTAAGAGAGTGCTGGGACAGGGCCTCACTGCACCACTCACTGGAGCCACCCTCACACAAACACACACACACACCAATGTGAAAAAAACACACATGCAAAGTCTAAAAAAGGCAGCGAACGTTTGGCACTTTATCCTCATTTCACCAACACCTTTACCAACATTTCTTATTGCTTGTGTGAGTGGGATGGTTCAGTGGGTTTTACTTGAAGTTGTCGGGGTGCTGGCTGAGGGCCAGGCCCACGGTGTCCAAGGCATGACGGTGGTGTTTCTGGGCGCTGAGCAGCAGGGTGAGCAGGTGGAGGGAGTGCAAGTCATCTCCATGGAGAGTTAAAGCTGCCTGCAGGGGCTCCATGGCTGCAGATACCTGCCACACACACACACATACACACAGGTCTAATGTACAATATGCAACGATTACTAATAAATAACTTGTCAATTCCAGCAGCAGATATCTTTACCTGGCGGACAAGTGCCAACTGCAGAGCCAAGTACATAGCAATCCGAGCATCCAGGGGGTCTAATGAGTGAGCCCTGAGGAGGAGAGAGACACGTCCCTGATGTTTCACATGTGTTAGCAAACGCTATATCACCAGAATAAAGCACTTTTTTTTATTACCATTTATATCAAACTCAAAATACCAGGGTGTTAGTTAATACCAGGGATAAAATAATAAAAAACAAGTTGGACTACTTATATATATAAGAACATTAATACAAACTCAGTTAAATATACATATATACTTACATACATTCATAAATGCATATAATATTATATTGTGTTATGATGAATGTTAACTTTGGTGTGTTAATGATGACACTGACGACATGCTAATGTTTGGCAGGTAACCATGTTCACAATCATAGTTTTGCATGTTGGCATTTGCTAATTAGCAGCAGTCTTAGTAACCCACACATGACAGCTGAACTGATGTGTCATCAGTATCATTAATGCGGCTCATTTGCTGACAAAGGTTCGGACATCTGATTTCTGAGAAACTGAAAACAGAGAGAACCAGGACGTACTTGCTCAGAGCCTGCAGCGCTCTCTTGTTGAAGTCATTCCGATCTGCTTTGAGAGAAGCTGTAGAGACACTAGTTAGTTTTAAATTGTTTATGTTGTATAGAATTGAAGCAACATGTGTTCAAAAAGTCATCACCTGAACAAAGTAGATCATTTGTCTTTTAAAATGATCCATAACGCACATACACATATTCTGGCAACAGGGTGAGAGAACCAGCCTGGCAGGTACTTCCTTGAATCTTTGCTGGTATCCTAGCAACCTACCAGTGTCCCAGCCAAAAGTACTCTGGCATGAAACTACAAGGAAAACCTCAACTGGACATTTTTACACATTGGTTTTATATTGATTTAACTAAATGGATAACATGTTCATTAATTAGCTTTAGAGTAACTGAAAAGTGGGTTTGTTAACCTTGGATCAAAGGGCTTTGGCTTTCAACCAGCCAGGCCTGAGGTCTTTATGCCAAGCTAATCTGACCATTAGAGAGAAGAAAGTGAATAAATGTGGAACTATTTAAGATCCGATTAACTTTATGGATGTGGAAAGTTCATGGCCATAGTTAAAAGAAAGCTACATTGACTGCCAACCATTTCCTGACTCTCCGCCTTCAGGTTTTGAAGCCTGCTGCCTTCACTTCCGAGACAGTGATTACTTGCATGGACATGGAGTTGTTGACTCTTCAAACCAGGTCACAAATCTGTTTGTGTGATGGTTTGTGTATCTTTGTATCCATACCATCAGAGGCCTGTAGACTGCAGCTGAGCCCCAGAGCCAGGTAGGCTTTGGGCAGAAGTTCTCCAGCTTCCTCCCCCATGGACACCACACTCTGGGACAGAGCCTCTGCCTCCTCAAACTGGACGCACACACACACACACACACACACACACACACACACACACACACACACACACACACACACACACACAGACACACACACACACATACACACACACACACACACACACACACACAAATTAAGTGTATATCCTCTTCAGGATCTGCAACAAAAAACAGCATTTGCATACAAATCCAGATATATCATGACCTATAATTGATATAATTTAAAGGATCTAGAATCATTGTGATGAACTGGACCTGCAACATCCTCGACATGAGTGTGCAACAGGAAAAGCATGAGTCTTACTGACAGTAAAATGCAGCTGAAGTGCAGCAGGGAACGGAGTATCGATGGCTGTGCCTGGTGTAAGTTTGGGCCGAGTAGATTTAGCTGAAGGACGACGCGGAGTTTGCTGAAGGACACACACACCGACACACACGCAGCAGTAGACTGCAGGCGCTGTGTGGCTGAGCTGAGCCGAGGAAAAAGTGTGTCACTCCGTGTGAGGTACTGCTGGTGGTGGGCAGGCAGGTGGGTAGGTGGGCGCAGGGGGAGGGGGTAATGCCTTTGACTGCATGCCAGCAGAACAGTGAGCCAACTGCTCTGACACCCCCCCTCCCTCCTTCTCCATACTCCTCTTCCTCCCATCATCCTCCCCCTCTGTTCTGTCTTTGTCTCTTTCTCTGACTCCACGCAGCCAGCACACAATCACCAGTCATTCAAAACACACAGCCCGACCGTGCACAACTTAGGATGGTGTGCAAGAAGAATGTGTTTCTGTTGTCGGGTGAGAACCTTGCATCTGCAAAACTGCTCTTCAGGAATTTAGAAAAGCAGCTTCGCTCTCAGTGTGTGCTGATGTCATGAGTTATGAGAGGGTTTCATGTGCCCGGACCTCCCTCACATTGTCACATACGTGGATAAAAACATGAAGAAATTCTAAATAAAGAGTCCAGACTGTCCAGTGGGGCTGCTGGTGGATAATGGTGGCCCATTTATGTAATGCCCCACTGCACTATGGCCACAGTGTCCCATTGTGATTAAGGCTGTAAGCTCCTTAGTGTCTCCGGCCTGCCATGATCTCCAGCCACTGACAGATGTGCTCCCTCCATTCGCCTGTTAGCTCCTCTTTTCTAATCTCTGACCCCTTTCTCTCTCTCTCTTTCTGTCTAACTCACCCTCACTCATTCTCTCTCTCTCTCTCCCCCCCCCATCCCAAATACCACTGTTGCTGTGACGCCCAGATCATGAACAGCAGGACTATCCAAGCTAGCCACGCTTCACAGTGATGTGTATCTGCCTGAGTGACCCCAGTGTCAATCCCCAAACATTAGTGACACAGTGATGCTGTGCGATGACTTTCTGACTTCACGTGCACACACACAGACACACACACACACACACCCACCATGCCCGCTAAGTATTGTATAACCCTCCAGCAGATGCAATACACAATTCTATGACACCATTTCACCTTTCCGCTTAACATCTTATACGTGTTAACTGAAGCTGTGGGGACAGGTCTAACTAAATGAAAAAGAACATGCATGGATTACAGACATGATTGTCCGTGCTACTGCATTCACATGCACATTATATCTCATTAGTTCCAGATGGAGAATGGATCCTTGCTACTAGAGCTGTAATCCTGTGGAATGTCAACCTTTATGTGTACGTTAAGTTCTTCTGTCTGAAAACCATGTAATACAAAGCATTGGCTACTTTTAACCACTTGTCACAGAACATGTCAGTGAGTTGTGTTAAAATAAAAAAAAACAATATTTAGAGTCTGTAGCCATGTGAGCCTTTAGGTTGCACAGTGTTACCAACATACTGTAAAGAAAATGGTAAAACAAAAAGAGTCTGAAAGCAAACTTTGCCAAAAACTTGCCGTCCAATTACTGTAAAAAATCGTTTGAGTAATTCTACAGAAATTGTTTTAACACATAGAAGAATACAAACATACATTAAGCAATATGATGAATTAAATGTAATTTAACATTCAAGACAATTAAGCACAACTTCCTGTAATATCAATATATGATTACAACTTTTATTTGATAAAAGTTATTTAGTCAAAAAAACGTATACAATAAAAGTGTGCAGTACTATAGTACCATACTGATGTTTAGCATCATACTGAAAAATGTTCTCATCACCTTAGTTTAGTATGTTGGCAGCATGCTAACATTTGCTAAATATCACTAAGCACAAAGTACATCTGAAGCTTGAATATCTTTAGTTCTCAGCAAAGAAATATGACAAATCCAACTGTAAATGAACGTGTGCACCTCACTTCACGGCGTCCGATCCAACAGTAGGACATTTCACCCAAAACTACAGATGTTAACATAAACCAATGAAGCAGTGTCCACTTAGGAAGTCTCCGTGTGTATTATGGCCACAGTGTGGACATGAGTTGTGAGCAGTAGATGCAAAGAGAGATTTTCCTTCTTCTTAGACTGTTTTATTTAAAGGATTTTGCATGGATGGATGGATTTATAATAAGTTGTCAATCAAAGCAGTTTCTCTCTCAATAAAGGTCCAGTGTTGTGCTCTCATAGACATGCACACACCTTTGCTGGTGAAAAAAAATCTCTAAATAGAGGACTGTAAGGCAGCACATGACTGAACAGACATGGAAAACAGCTCCACCTACAGAAACACTTCTACAGAAGATTCACAGCCACAAGTATCTCTGGGAAATGCTGTGCAAAAGCGCTAAAAGCAAAGACACCAGTTATTCATCCAATGTATGTTTAAGCTTCAGGCTCCCGGGCCTGACTCTGTGACCCTGTGTGCATATTGGTCATTACCACTTCATAGGTGTTTTGTGTATTTGTATTCACCCTGTGCAGTTGACCAATGCAGACTTTAGCAGCCAACAGGGGCAGTGAAGGGTCCTCAGGTCTCATCCTGGCACACTCTTTAAATACAGATACGGCACCAACACCCTGGAAGATACACACACACACACATACACACACGTCAGTGACAAATTGTGATTCATGATCACACAGCAGCAGTTATCATGCAGTAACAGATGACATGGATCGCATATGCGGGTGTATCAAACACACATCAACTGTCCTTACACAGCCCTAATAGACCCATTTAGACACACAGTCACTTAATACATGTAGGTCAATCATTAATGGACCACATGCACACGCACACGCGCTCACACACACACACACACACACACACACACACACACACTCGGCTGGCCCTAAATAGAAGCGGATCTGACGACAGTGAGGCGGCCCCTTCTCCTTCTAGGGAGCAGCCTATTTCCAGAGCTCTCCATTGATCTGCAGTGTCACTTTATCCTGAGACCCAGATCAATTTCTTTGTCACACAGATGGGCGCACACACGTACGCGTGTACACACACATGCTGCCATCCACTCACATATTTTGAGGAACCGAGAGACAGGAGGAGAAAGAGAGAGAGGACTGTACACGATTCCTTATTCCTCCTGAGGACTCCAATTTGAAGAATGCCATGTTATCATCATGTTCACATAGCAGCAAGTTTATATAAAATTATTCCCCAATTATTACATTTGTTATAGTTGTAGATGGTGGTGGGAGTTGCAGTTGTAGGACAACACAGTGTTTACCTCAATCAAAAATCTAGCTGATTGACTTTTATTGGACCTTATTGTAAGTCTCAATTACTTGGCAATATCTAATTCGTCCAGACCAAATAAAATTTCAACCCATCTGCTCTTCCAAGCAAACTGAGCACTTAGCTATGGATGCTATGTGTTGCACGCCTGTGAGGAAGGAGCGCCGCAGTGTAGAGGACATGAGGCATGGCAGATGATGGATGTCTCCTTCGGGTGTGGCGTGGTGTGAGGGTCTGTTGCTGGTATATAAGGAGTAATGAGCTCACCTTCCCCGCCGCCATGAGTGACAGGCCCAGCTGGTGCCAGAGGTGGAACTCGTTGAATGAGAACTTCATGGCTCGCTCCAGACACTGGAGAAGAAGCACAGACACACACACACACACACACACACACAAATACATGTTAGTTATGTCCTTTTGTTGAGTTGAACAGACACAATGTTTGTGTTTAAATTGTCCTTACACTAAACCAATATGAAAATAATTTTCAAGTCAGGAAAATGTTGTTTAGGAACAATAATTTTTGCTAATTCTTTCTCCTATACAAAGCCACTGACATGAATAGCCGCTCTCCATGGCTCCATTTTCACAAGCTTAAAATGCCTGTCAGTCACCGCACACCACCCACTCTGCTGTTTCAGTACATAATGCTGTGATTGATGTGTGTGTGGATGAACAGAGGATGGCATGGAGCGCCAATCAGTCAGATGTTATCAGTCATGCAGACGTGAGCTCAACCAGGAAAAAGGTCTAATTAAATAATGTGCACTTGATAGAAAGCCTGCTGACCATTGAACATGCAGGAAAAAAAGACATCCTGCTGCACTGAGCTCAACTCACACATCGACCTCTGAGTGATCCGATTCACTGAGGACTGAATAGATAAGCATTCTTAAATAGACAACATTTATGAACTAAGCAAAGGATGAATTGTAATGCCTCAGAAATACTTGCTTGGTCTTAATAAATTCACTTGAAGCTGTTACATAACAGCGCTGACCCTTGTTAACCTTGCTAAATCAGGCCCCGGCCCATTACAAATCCCAGTTTAACCCCTGTTTAGAGGGTTAACAAGTAGAGTCTGAATTAGGGTACACTCAAAGTGAGATGCAGGGACAGAAAACTAAGACACTGACTCAACTTAAAGCTGAACTAATCATTATTTTTATATACTCATTTGGTCTAATGACTATGTGTAATATGTACAGTGTCTAATGCTTTGACAAAGCCAGAGAATTAGCACCAGCACTCAGCTCATCCTCTCTGCTCCACATTGTGTTTCAACATCTTTCAGCTCTGTGATTTAGATTGAGGTCCATTTTACGCCTTCACTGTTTTGGTTTAGCCTCAGTGCCCTCATCAGTCTCATTTCCAGGCTGTTTTCTATGAAAAAAGAAAAACTCACCGCAGACAAAGCTAGAGACCATATGGTGAACATAGTGGAGCAGCTAAAGAGCTGGATGTTTCCCTCAGGAGTGGGTGGAGACCAAAATGGAACTAATAGAAGGGGGCATGTTGTACATTGGCCAAGTGGAGTCAAACATGATTCTGAATTCATACTTATCTTGCTCTGGTTTGAATGATAACATATTCACCATATGAACTTATAATACTTTTTTTAGAGAGGCATATTGTACTTTTAACTCAATGCAAATCCCTTTATAACAGCAGCTCCACTTCTTTCATCTCCAACCATAAAGTGCTGCACAGGATGATGCAGCAGTAATGATAATCCAACAATTTAACAGTTTTAGTAACAATCTCAAAGTGATAGTGGACATATAATATTCATCTACTTTAACTGATGCAAGATTTTGATTTCCGGATTTGGGTGAACTAGAATATTTTTAACCTTTGATATTGTTCCTTTATCTTAACTACATTTGAAACTGTTCAGCATCTTTCAACTATCAGTCATTTTGATCGGGAGTCATCTGCAAAACTCAGCATTATGATAATAATAATACACACTTAAGTATCCTCAAACTGAAATTTGATAATAAAACTTAACAGCAGGCCCGCTGTGAATTGATAATAAATGGCCCATACTGGCATTTTATATATATATATTTATTTATATCAGCAAACTGATCCACTAGTGTAGGTGGTAGCTCAGTGTGTGTGTGTGTGGTCTTCCTTATAAGAAGACTGATTCCTCCTATGAATCACTCAGACAGGTGGACAAAACTAACTTGAGATGACCCCTCCAACCTCTACCTCCCCAACTTCCCACATCTTGGTCGCAGCCACGTTAGATGTAGCCGTAAAAGTGAGAATATGTAGGAGGAATTTGGAGCAAGATAAGGAAAGAAAAAAAGGAGAAGTAGAAAAGGATACATAATCCCTGAGCTCAAAGTGATGAGCACATTCATTAAAAGGTTTGCAAAGGCAAATCTCTTACTAAGACGTTTCATTGCTCACTCTTTTACTCCTCAGACCTCCAGCATAGAGTATGTGTGCACACCTCAGACAGCATGGCATACTGCCCCCTCCTGGCCATGCCGATGCTGAGCAGATCATAGACAGAGGTGGCATCCTGCAGACTGGCCTGGCGAGCCTCGGCCTGGTCAGGCAGACGACTGATCACCGCTTCGCCACTGGCCTGGATGAAGAGGGAGACAGAGAGGGATGAGGAGGAGGAGGAAAGAGAACAGGTAGGAAGACAAAGGAAGGTCTTTGTGTTGAAATTTGTAGAAACATTTGGTAGCACAAATGCAGAGTGCAAGTGTGTGTGTGTGTATGTGTGTGTGTGTGTGTGTGTGTATGTGTGTTTGTGTGTAGCTCACCATAGACTCTGTGATGAGCAGCAGCAACACTGCCTCTTCCACCACGTCCTGAGGACAGAAGCAACTACCAGGACACAGGAAACAAGAAATAGTAAGAACAGGAAGTCAATCAAACACACACACACACACACACACACACACACACA